AGCTTTAAATTCTTTGATGCAGTAGTTCTAATTGGAGATATTTGGTTTTAGCCTAAGAAAATAAAACTGATGTTAAACAGGAACATATAGAAAGATTCCCCTCTGCCAGCATTATGTACAACGGAAAAAGAGATTATATGACTTTAATAAATTGTGGCATATGCAACAGTTGGCATATTAAGTAGTAAATAAGCTATGTAGGTAAGGAAAAAGTCTGTGTTAGACCCCGTGGTTCTGCCATCTGAGAATCCCCGAGACTGAGTAACTCATACGTGAAGCTGAGGCATTTAAGGTGGACAGTCCTGCACGTGGTGAGGCCTTCTTGCTACCATATCCCGGGATGAAAAGGAGATGGACAAGAGGGTACAAGATAGCACAAGACAAGAGTCCAACTCACTATTTAGCAACTCATTCTTGTGATAAGTAACCCATTCCCACGATGATGACATTAACTTACTATGTCTTCATGACCTAATTACCTCTTAACTAAGTTCTACTTCCCAATACTATTTCTTTGGGGGTTAAATTTTCAACACGAACTTTTGGGAACACCTTTAAAGTCCACCTGCACATTTTGAAAATACATATACAACTGCTCTAGCACAAAACATTACTAACCACACACTGTTGATATGTCCTCCAAAATTCACATATTGAAGCTAAACTCTCAGTGGGGTAACAGAAGAGCGGAGAAATTTAGGAGGTGAATAAACCATGAGGTTAGAGCTCTTGGACATACTACCCAGGGTGCCACCTGAGAAGCAGACAGGGTCAGGGTCGCTGAGTCTGCCAGTGCCTTGACTGTACACGTACAGCCTCCCAAACTGTGAGGAAGTAGATTTCTATTCTTTTAAAATCATCTGGTCTTGAGTATCTTGTTATAGCAATACCAGCAGTCTCACATACTACATACTCTAAATAAATAATGCTTCAAATGAGTATTATTTGATAGAAGTTGTAAGAGGAGGCAAAATGAAAAAAGGTACATGTAAACAGAAAAATCTGAAATTTTTTCCCTTTATTAAATCACCTTTCAGTTGTGTTTAGGTTGCTTAAAAAGTAAAAACTTGATTTAAAAAAGAGACCATCCCATTCTTCTAAAATTGAGTAGCAACTGAGAACTTAAACAAAAGTGAATGGCTGAAGAGGATACTATCTAGAGAGTTCATCAGCTGCCTTATGTAGCGTGCACAGGATTATCTAAGAAAGAGAATTTAGCAAAAGCCAGGCTAAGTGCTATGAGATGATTTTAATAATTTATCAGTAATTCTCTTCCCACTAATGGTATATTCACTACTGTTTGCAGTTCTAGCATTGGATTCAAAATGGCATTAAAATATCTAGACATTAATGCTAATTAAATCTGCCTTTTTGTTCCAAAACTCACATTCTTCCTTTTAGTATCAAATGTATACAGTATAATTCAGTAGTTTAAAAATATTTTAGATCACTTTTGACCAATAAAATTAGAAAAGACAAGAAATAGATTAATGTGGATACTGTATGTTCTGGCTTGTGTCTAGATGCTCCCCCAAAGCCTCATGCAGTCAGAGGTGAGGATTTTTCAGAGGTTCCTGAATCTACAGTATGTAACCAACTCATGGTGCTATGCTAGGATTAAGAGTAGGTGATTACTAAATCAGTACATGTACTGGTTTTATACCACCTAATCCTGGTAACCTGGAAACAATAAACAGGACAGACAGAAGCTTGTCTTGTGCCTTGCTTCCTTGCTTTTGCTCTCTTTTCCTTCCCATGATCTGGTTCTACTTTGAGATGGGCCTCAGCCATGCCACCGTCCTTTGGAGCCAAGTGATTATGGACCGAAAGGTCTACAAACTGAGATAAATAATTTTTTCTCCTTTTAGCTTTGGGTGTTGGGTATTTTGGATCAGCACTGAGATAAAAGTAAGTAAGACACAATATTGTTGATTATTTCTTGTCTTGACTTGAAAAGTAAATGATAAAAATAACGTGTAATATTCATTCCAATTAATACTGTGATTCCTCCCTTCTGTTGGAAGATGAAGGCAAACCTCCCTGATTAATGTTTCAGGCAGGTGTGGATCAGCTTGGGTTCTTTTCTTGCTACCTGAATTATTAAAGGATTATTTTAGGAACAGCCTTCCTTGGGATTTTGAATTCCAAAATAAATTAGCACACATTTTATCTTCATAAAAAATCTAAGTGAAGACTTTACTGAAACATTAAGATTATGTTAAATTTCCCATTTATTCTCCATAACAGAAAAAATAAAGATACATTATTTTCAAACAAAGTTTAAATTTAGCACCTATCTTGGATGTATTAGGGCCAACATCTTAATAAGTGTCTCCTGAAGTTAACTAAAACTCTATTAATTTTGAATTAGAAATGGAGTTTATTTTAAAATTTCAGTGCTTCTTATAATTCTAACATAATTCTAACTGCAATGAAAGCAGTACTTATAAAATAGTTCTATAAAATCAACCTGTTTCTCTTATACAACACCTGTCAAATTCTAAAAATGTGCATGGTGACAGTAATCTGGACAACTTGGTCATGGTACTCAGTGCTAAACAGCAGATTTCACTGCATTAATTTTCAGTAAATTAATGTAGAGGCAGAAAGTACATGTTTGTAAATTAAGTTGTAAGGGTTTCTTGGTTGTCCCATTGCATCTGGTCCTCTCACACCTATGTGCTGAGGCTACAACGAACCCCTTGCAGGTTCCTTGAACCCTACTGGCACACTCCCATCTTAGGACATTTGTGCTCAAGACATCTTCCATGAAACATGAGCATAACCTACTCCATTTCACACAGGTGTCCAATGAAGTCTTTCCACCCCACGAGAGGAGGTGCCTCTTATTCCTGTCCTCTTACTCCTATGACTCCTATTCATTTGTGTATTTCTTCCACCTGCCACATAGCACATTGTTTACTCTATCATCCAATTCCATCTAACAGTGCACATTATAGAAAATCAAAGACTTTAAAACTTTCTAATGCAAAAAGCCAAGCATCTAGAACACTGCTGGTGCCTAATTAGTGTTCAAGGGACATAAATGGAAATAATGAATGGGTAAGTGGTAACAGACTGAAGAAATACAGGTCTTTCAAAAAGGAAAGATCCCCAATAGTAAAAAGTTTGTAAAGTAACATTTAGACATCAATCGAGCCGTCAGTAAAATTGTGAAAGAGCACAAACCACATAGCAATTAGAATGAAGGCTTTCCATACATTTTTGTCAACCACAAAAAATGTTCACTTCAGTGAAACAGACTTGCCACATTACATAAGCAAGATCATATTGTGTGGGGCTTTAAAACTAGTTAAAATGGGATTTCACAGATGAGAAGCTGCTGCCTTGAATGGCTCTCTCCTGTTTTTACTTCTACAACCTGATCCATCAAACCTCAGTCTGAACATCACCTTCTCCACGGAAAGTTCCCAGATCTAACCACCTCCAGGAATGGGAATGAATCTCAGACTTTAGCTGTAACTTTCCTAGTCACTGATAGTTTTCTGTGTGTTATTATTCATCATTGTGTGATTTTTATCTTACGTTGTTTCATAATTGTCGGTATTGCTAGCTTTTTGTTATTTGCTATTCATGCTTTATGTCTTCATCACCAATGACCCTGACTTCTAATGAAAGAGAACATAATCTGCAGCATCAACTGCGATTCTTTCCCTGGTTTAAGAACCACACAAATTTGAACGAATGCATGCATGAAAAAATACCATCTTCAAAATCTAGCTGGCATAGAACTAAGAAGAGCTATGTCTCTGAAAGAAGGCGATCTCCCTACTCGAATTAAAAGGATGATTTAAAGTCTATTGTATTATTTTCATCCACAAGATTTTACCTGCTCGTGAAAATGAGAGACGGTAGAAAGGGATGACTGTGGGGAGGAATCTGACTTGAGGATGCTGGCTCTCGTCCCCTACATGAGTCCATGTAGCTGGATGAACTCGTAAACCTGAGTGTGACGGTGGAGCGACTGTGTCAATTTGAGGAAGAGAAGTTTAACTGAACTGGCTCGGCAATTCCTCACCCATGGGTAAGGAAGACTCACCCTGGGGTGCCTGTTGCCTGGATGGTATAAAGGAGAAATAAAAAAGGGGGGATCTGCTTCTGTTTCTTCAGAGGGCTTCAGTATCCAGCTTCACCTTGGACATCATCTCCTGGCTTCCAGCACAGGCTCCTTGGCTTTTGTGGCATAGTCTTCAGCCTCCATCACAGATCCACTGGCCTCCGGAAACGGACTTGCATGGGACACTGTAGTGAGCACCATACCTTCAACTGATCCCTTTGGTCTCCAGCGCGCATACAGATCCTCTGCACTCTTCCTCATCCAATTCTGTGAGTAGCCATTGTAACCCATTCTTATAAATTCTTATATATCTGTGTATCTTTTATTATATCTGTTTTTGTAGTATACATTGAGTGACACACTACTGAATGTAGTATACATTGCTGCCTCAGAAAGAATACAGTTGCCTAGGACAAATGTCTGAATAGGACCTGGCAAATATTTTTCCTTGAGTTCTCTAGAAGAATGTTAAGTGACCTCTTGGGCCATCATTGTTTCTGATATAGGGTGAAGCACCAAACCCAGAACATGTACCTCATAGCACTTGGGTTACAAGGATGTGAGCCACTGGTGGCTGTGAGAAAAGTTTATTAAGCTAGTTAGGTTCAGCTCCTATCAAGACATTCCTAGAGCAAGGAAGGATACATATTTTGTACCTAAAATCTACTGTGGTAATATAAATGCAAAAAGGATAAGATTCCAGGCCACCATGATAAAAATGTGAAAGTGCATTCACTTGTATGACTAAATGATCACTAAAAATACAAGAACCAAAATTAGAAAACATCCAGAATCTTATTACAGATGCATCTGGGTCCTTTAATTGCTTGCACCTTTAATTTCATTTAGACAAAATGTAGACGAGAGCCACCACACAAACTGTGAACTAACAAGGATGGGAAAGGTGGGGACGTTCACTTACCGGTGCACGCCATTGCTGCACATGATGATGTGGCAGGCACCGAGCCTGTCGCACAGCTCAGAGGAAACTGACAGCAGGCCAACCCCAGACGCGCTGCATGCTGTGTTTGCACAGGCAGCTGTGCGTTTGGATCTGATGAATGAGGCTACCAGGCGATAAAGCTCATCCAAAGCATTGAGAGGCCTCATTAGCTGCAGAAAAAGTGAGGAACAGAAAGTTCAACATGTTGAGCAGAAATCCTTTTAGCTGGGTTGTATCACAGTTGTGGTAGCTTTTAATGAATAGTTTTATTATTTTGTTATGGGACTAACAGGACTGGAGACTAAATATAATTACATACCAAGCAAGAACAAGAGTAGAAAACTATGGGAGGTTTGTGACTAAGAAAGTATCAATATGTGTAATCATCTGTTTTTACCTTATCTACATAGGCAGCTTTGGATGTGGAGTTCGGGGGGGAGTTTGATTTGTCCAGGTAGAATGCCCTGTAGGAATACAAAGAATATTTGTTTATTGGTAAACAAAATTTAAAATGCATAAACATGTTCAATTTTCATTAAATTTCTTCTATAGAACTGAATAAAGCTATAAACACTAGGATCAGCGGGGGGATGCACAAACGTCACAAGGCATCCATCCATTCAAACAAACAAACAAACAATTAAAGCTACCACTATCTCCATTACATAGCATTTGGCTTTAGAGCAGAGTTGTCCTTGCTCAGTTTTCTCATCTGTAAGTGGACAGCAGCGTCCATTTGTATCAGAAGATTGTCTAGTAGAATCAAAGATTTATTCAGAAAAAAATGCTTAGAACAGGGCACAGCACAAAATGTGTTTTTCAATAATTGTGATAATATCACAAAAGCTGAAGAAATATGACTATTAGAAAACACTATCCAATTTTCATTTATTGTAAGAATGTCAAATTATAAAATACATACACATGTTCACTTTAATAAATGGTGCTAGAAAAATTGACTTTCCATGGCAAAGATTAAAATTAGACCCTTATCTATCATAATGCACTAAACTAAAGTCAAAATGGATCAAAGATCTAAATATTAAAACAGAAACACTAAATCTACTGGAAGACAAGGTAGGTAGAAATCTTGAAGACATAAGGGTAGGCAGAGAGTTCATAAACAAAATGCAAACCATATGGGAAGTGCTTCAAAGAATCCACTACTAGACTCTCCTCTTATTAAAAAGCTTTGTGCTTAAAAAAAATTATCAACAGAGTGAAAAGAAAACCCACAGAATGGGAAAGAATTTTAGCCAGCTGTCCCTCTGACAAAGGATTTATATTTAGAACATATGAAGAATTAAAAAACATCAGGCCATCAAATTCAAAGACCCAGTCCAAAAATGTACATCTGAGATGAACACGCACTTCTCAAATGAAGAAATACAAATGACAAATAAAGACACGAAGAAATGTTCAGTAACACTGGTCATTCGAGAAATGCAAATTAAAACAACATGGAGATTCCATCTCATGCCAGAAAGCATGGCTGGCATCGAGAAGTCAACTGATAACAAATGTTCGTAAGGCTGCAGGGAAAACAGAAATGCTTCTCCACTGTTGGTAGGAGTGCAGACTGGTGCAGCCACGGTGGAAACCAGTGTGAAGACTCCTCAGAAAACTAGAATTGGAAGTCCCATTCATTCTAGTTGCTCCTCTTCTGGGTATTTTCCCAGAAAAACTGACAACGTCACGCCCCAGCAATATATGTGCACCTATGTACAACACATATTGTGATAATGAAAGGGAAAGAAAGTGCTCAAAGGGAAAGAACAATTGAGATAGGGAAAAGGAGAAAGTTCACATGTATATAGGGGTATGTACATGTATGTGTGTGTATGCATATATATACAAAATAGATAACTATACTACTAACCTGTTAGTTCATCAAAAAGAAGTTTGAGCTTTCACCATTTGATCATTTTTTCACACCTAAATCTTGTAACCTGAACAACTACTTCTAAGATAACAATATGCAATATATTAACTAGTGTTAATTTCCTACTATTTTGTTTTGAAATTCTGTATCATTTCTATCCTTTTTTGTTTTGCTTTTTAAAATAAAAAATTAATACAAAAAACCCTTCTAATTTTAAACAGATTAAAAAACTGACTTTTCAGTTGGTAAAGTTTCAGATTGGAAGTTAAACTTTGAGGAAGCCTTGGCCCTTATTTTCACCAGGATAAAACATGCAATGCCTATTAAGTCAAATCTAATAGCTTGCAATAATCCCAAGAACTGCCTTATTGCTTAGCTTCTGACTGCATATTAACAAAATTTAGAGAGTGATCCTTGAAGATAGGATACATTTAAGTTTTTAACCTTCCATTCTTAAAGTTATGTTAAAATGCATATAACATAAAATGTACCATTTTATACATTCTTAAGTATAGATTTCAATGGCATTAAATACTTCCACAAAAACCGTTACTTATTTGTTATTGCTGAAGGGAAATTATTTCTAAGATATGAACATGTAATGACAATATAACAAAGTAAGTCCCAATGTATCAGGATGAATTAGAATTTAAACAAAAATTGATTAGATTGACATTTAAGAGCATCTTTCAAGAATTCAAAATATGCTGAGTGTGGTAGTACACACCTATAATCTCAGCATTGGGGAGACTGAGATACAAGGATTGTTCCATGGTCAGCCTGTACTAAAGGCAGGCCCTGTCCCAAACAAACAACAAAAACAAAAAAGAATTCAAAATATTGGCCAATTATCAAAAATTACTTTTTTCTTCCTTAAAATACACATTAAACACCCTTTTCAAAAAAACTGCAAAAAACTTGGCATCTAAATTTTGGTATTACTCATTAGAATTCACTCTGGATCCTAAGAGATTTGTTTCTAGGTACCATCTGTTGTTCCTCAGCCTGAATCTATAAGTCATTGCCTCAGGGTACATATACTGCCAGAAGCATGGGACTCTAGCAATGCCAGGCTGCACCCAACTCACAATGACTAGGCTATAGTGACATGCATCAGGAATGCTACCAGGTTCCAAGCAAAGACAGCTCCTTCACTGTAATTACTACATCACAAGAAAAATCAGAGAGATTTGAGGCATCATCATCACCATCATATCATCATCATCATATTTTGTGGTACTGGGACCTGAAGCCAGAGCCTTCACACTGAGCTACATCCCAGCCCTTTTTAAATTTTTATTTATGATAGAGTCTTGTTAATTGGTAAGTTTCCTGAGCTAAGCTTGAACTAATGATTCTGAAATATTTCTACCTAGGTACAGTGGTACATGCCTGTACTCTTAACTACTCAGAAGGCTGAGGTAGGAGGATTACAAGTTCAAGGTCAGTCTGGGCAACCTAGTGAGACCTTGTCTCACAAATACAACAAAAAAAATTTGAAAAAAATAGTTCAGTGGTTGCATACCTGGCTTCCATCTTTGCAATGCAAAACCACAAACATCAAAAAGCTCATCAAATCTAGACTTTCTTCAGTACCAAAAAACGACAGCAGAAATCCAAGAAAAATACTGTCATCCAAAAAAGCAAATGTATGCATAGACCGCACGAGGAACAAAAACATGCAATAGAGCTGAGCTGGGTAATGTATGGGCAACCTTGCGAGTCAGCCGCGGTAAACGGTGTAGGGATTTAAGGGCCCTGAAAGGGAGTTCGGGTCTTCTTTTGAGGGAATTTGGGAGTCACTGAAGAGAAAGGACCATCTGACTTGCCCCACTGCGAGAAAACTTGCTAATTTTTAAACTTTATCACTAGGTCTCAAAATTAATGTTCTTCTGAAAGCTCTCTAGGTCTTCTCATCTCTATACAGATATACTTAAGATAGAACTATGAAAATTCATGCTTATATCACCATACTTTAACAAATCTTAGCAATTTATCTTCTGCATATTTTCCCCCCTCAGTACTGAGAAAAGCACCCCACTGCTGCGTACACACCCACCCCCTTTTCACCAGTTACGGGCAGAGCTGACTCCCTGTTCCTGCGGTCCCCATGTTGCCTATTCTTCCCCCTCCCCGTTCTTGCTCCAAGGTGATCATTTTCCTCCCTCCCAGAATGGTCACCTGGAGGTGGATGTTTCTCACTTCCAGGCTGCAGACTGTCACCCATACCATGAGCACAAGTGGAGGCACAAAAGAATAGCTGTGACCATCCTTCTGCATCTTTGTTTACTTTGATTCTCTTAGATTTCCAACTTTGGCCTTTTTACCTTTGATTTGTGTTGTTGGGGCACAATTATAATGCAAGGACACATTTGTAAAATAGCAAATTTATAGGTATTTGATGATACAAATTAGAGGTCTCTGACCAAGTTTCTGCTTGGGAATTCAATTGACCTTGACATTGTCTAAAGCTCAGCTGCACATCTCTGATAAGCACTAAGTCAGAGTAAAGGTCTATACTTTAAGGCACCATGGGCTAATCAGACACCTTTAATTATGCTCGCCCTGTAAATCCCCTCCCCTTGTTACCAGTACATTTCTATATCATGATAAATAACTCATTTCAACAAATCTGTTTAAGACTAGTCAGTCTGTCAAGTATGACTCAAAGCATGTAACCAAATATGTAATGTTTTGTCACTTGTTTTGTCTTAACGCTATATAAACTAAGCTCTGTAAACTCAGGGCTATTGCCTTTGGGAATGATCCCACAACAGTCCACTAGTGCGAAGATTTTTACCACTGTCATAAAGATTAAATGATGCCTTCGTATCTCCTTGGTGAGGAGAGTCTGCCTTTTGGTTTGACTTGGGAATTTTCTTGCAACAGTGTATTTCTGCTGGTCAACATTCTTTCTCTTTCTTTCATTTGCTTGCTCATATGTCTTACCTTTTCTTTTTAAACATAAATTAGTTACAACTTCTGATAGCAAGAGTTAATGACTTTTAAAAGTTTCTGTTTCTCCCTTTTCATCTTTTGTTTTTTAAATGCCATACTTTCTTTCTGGCTTACTTTCTCAAGAATAGTTCTGTTTCTTAAGTAAATTATTCAATTTGCATTTTTGGTTAGCATCTATAAGTAGAATATGAGGGCATGAAATTGTAAAACCTAGACAGACTATATTGTTCTCCCTCAGTATGGTCCTTTACATCTGATTTCAATGTAATGGTATCTGAAGCTAGTCTGTATTTTTTCTTCTGCTAGTGTGTATTCTTTTTAAATTTTACTTCATAAAGTTTAACCACAAAGTGTTTACCACAGATTTTTTATTTATCCAGATACTTCTCAGATTGTACATTAACAAAGAAGCTTGTCTAATCACCTGAAAAATAATCCTATCTATTCTTTCGCCTAATTTTATCTTTCCAACATCATTTCTACTTTTTCCCTTCTGTAATATCCATTACACATATGCTCACATGTTTTTATCTCTTTCTCCCTCTTTCTACTATCCCAAACCCCCTTTGATGTCTTGTTTACAATTACTCCATTTTAGGTAATCTCCTCAGTAACATCTTCCAA